CAGGTGCCACGCCAAACGAAGCCGCGCGGACACGTCCCATCACGTGCGGCGAACACTGCAGCTTCGTATGGGTGAAGCATTTCAAATACGGTTATTCTATTCGGATTATGTTAGTCCCACTTTTGCAGAAGTATCCCCTTCATATGCCAATTCAAGTTAATACTGCCCCTTGACCATTGACCAGTATGCCACAACATATGGAATCAATCAAAGATTGGTGTTTAATAGTTTATCGAGGTAAAACAATCACAGTAAACACAAAAATTGCTTATACGATCCGCCAGTAAACAATCCCGTTGTAGGAAACACGAACGCTAGAGATACCATGGGAATAAGGCATTATTATAGAAAAGAAGTCCGACTAGCATTTTACTAGTCAGTGTCGGTGCCTATGTGGAACGATCATGATGAGGTGATGTTACCTATTCACTGACGGGGGCTTTCTCAGTCTCGAATGGTGCAGCAAGCGTTAGTTCACCACAATCAGAGATGACTGCGTCTTCCTTTGGACGGTCTCCAGGCTGCAAAACGGAAAGTAGTGGTCAAAACATTTGCACATTCAATGAAATAAAATCAAGTGCTTACGTTAGTTGGAGAGTTTTCGATTTGGCGAACGACGCTCATGCCTTCCAGAACTTTTCCAAAGACGACGTGACGTCCATCCAACCATGGGGTCTTCACCTGAAATTACGAAACTCGTAATTTTCACCACCATAACACCCTTGATCTGCAACAGTGCTTTGATCGTGACTGTTAGACTCACAGTGCAAATGAAGAACTGTGATCCATTAGTGTCGGGACCGGCGTTTGCCATTGAAAGCCATCCGGGGCCATAGTGCTGCAGATCGAAGTTCTCATCCTTGAAGCGATCACCATAGATCGACTTTCCGCCGGTGCCATCTCCACGAGTGAAATCTCCTCCTTAAGTGCAAAATAAAGATACCTATGTGAAAAAAGACTCATTATGGTTTAAACAAGAAAAGTTCGTGTAAGACTGGCGGGCATTTTGCGAATCTGTGCAATAGTTCGTCGGAGGTCAGATTACCGTAGTCGCAGTTTGCACTACGAGTTTTTTTCTGAGGTTTTGAAAGCTTCGTTTCCGCAGCATTTATTCAATTTTTGTTCTATGTTGAAAGACATTTAGTGCTAAAGCGATGGAAGGATTGCGAGCCAGGAGCCCGGAATTTTTACCAAAGCCTAGTGCGAAGGAGGTGGGTGAAATGCTTCCTTTCGCTGAAGCTCCCTTTATCCCTCGCGGCATCACAGCGAAGCAGTCAGAATTCCTAACCAGTTGACTCGGCGTAGCACCTTTGTGCCGAATCAGTTGGGGGCGCCAACGTAGTTGGGAGGGGCCACGCGGCTCGCGGCGAGCGATGACTCATCTGCTTTAAAGTTAAAACAG